AGGGGCTAAAGACTATCCTGTAAGATCCACACCTGTTTGCCTATTTCCTACTTTTTTCTGTGTCGACTTTACAATCTAACTCTTCTAAAAAACATTCACATTTCTAATTGCCTTCCGGAGCTGAGCTTGGTTTTCCATGTCTATGTAAGATGCTAGAGTCCAAATTTCAACAGGCTGTTAAGCTTCTCTTGTTTGAAGAGGGTTGTAGATAAGCAATCTTCTTTTGGAATGACTTTGGTCTGAGCTCCGGCCACTTGTTTGACTGTGTGACCTTGGCCAAGTTACTTATCAGGCTTCTGAATCCCAGTATCCTCATCTGTAAAGTGAGACTATTAATAGTAGCTTTCTGATGGAGTTTGGTGCGGATTTAATCAGGTGGTGCAAGTTATTAATAAATTCTTAGTCTAGTGACTGGGACATGGTTAAAACTTAATAAATGTGAATGGTCATCATTTCTCTTTCTTTTTCCTATAAATTTTCCAGCTTTACCCCCTTCTCCTACTTTGTGTTTGGAGGCATGGAGAGTTAGGTCTCTGACCAGCCATATGTAACTTCATATAGTGTTAAGGGGGTCTGTTGGGATTCATGTTCTGTACTTCGAGGAGCAGGTAAGCATTTCCTGAGAGCCCACCAAGTGCCAGGCACTCTGCTAACACTTCATACAATTTCCCATTTAACTTCCCAAACAGCTCACTGAGAATGTTTATATCCTCAATAAACAGATGGGAAACTGAGACCTAAAGTTTAAATCAATGTGACAAGGTTGTGCTGGTCTGTTCAGCTTAAAAATCTATGTTCTTTCTGCCATACCAGGCTACTTCTGAGAAGGTTGAGCCATGTCGTGTGTTCAGGGTGAAGGAATAGGTCCAACTCCCCTGGTCTTCCAGTACCACAGGTTGTCCCAAATAATTAGACACTTAGATGGTAATTTCATACATTTTCTAGTTTCCTATCGCTCATGGTCCCTGGGCACTGAGAACTGCACCCAAGGTCAGCTCCGTGAAAATGTCTCCTTGGGCAGCGGGAACTGAGTCTTCTGGTTTATCATGAGCGGAATGATATGGGAGCCCACAAAATATATAATTGGATGGTGATGGATGCAAAGCTGATTATTGTCTCTGCTATCACTCCATCCCTAGACGTGCCAGTTTGGTAGGTGTGAGGAAGAACTCAGGAATCTGTGCTTGTAAAGGTGATTCTGGTGCTCCATTGGCTTAGGCCTTAGAACAAGGACACAGAGTGAAAAGGATGATACAGCAGAGAAGGCTGAGTGCCTGTGGGGAGGGGAAGGGCCACCGATTAGGGGCGGCGGTGGCTGCCTCACGTCCAATCCTCATGCAGCGCCATCTCTCTAATCTGTTTTATATTTTGGGGTTCTGTGATAGTGGAAAAATAATCCTTCTGCTAAAATGATGTGCACAAATTGTAAGAAAACCTTCCCCGCACAAAACAAAAAGAAGAAAATACTGGCTGCAAGAGGCTGCCTGGAAGTGGCTAACGTTTTCCTTCCCACTCCGAGAATGAGAAATTAGTTTTCTTGAAGACACTGATGGACACACTGTTTAAACAGTTTGATTCAAGAACCAAAGTGAAGTTGGCAGTAAAGCTGGCATTAGTTGGGACACTGTGTACAGCTATTTGTGAGGAAAGATAAGGTGAGAAAGAGAATAATTATATAGGTGAGGCAGAAGGAATGGCACAGGGGTGAGTTAAGTCAGGCATGAATGGAGGTGTCCTGAGAACGGTTAAAATATAAAGGGGAGTTCAGAAAATTCAACTTTGATACATAGGTAAGATTGGGAACAAATTCAGATGCCTGAGGGTGTGTGTGTGTGTGTGTGTGTGTGTCTGTGTGTCTGTGTTTGTGTTCCTCTGCACATGCACATGCACATATGCATATAGGCAATGGGTCATTCTTTCCAGAAACGGTGAGCCACCCTCCCCTACTCCAGCACCGAGGTTGTCCCCACCTCAGAAGTTTAGTGGTATGTGCCACTGGCAGAGGATTTGCTCAGTATGTAGGCACAGATGTTATGGCAAAGACACAATCAGAGGGTGGTATGCAAACCTGTTAGGACAGCTGTCAATGTCAGACCTCCCAGCCAGAACTCAGGGGCCACCTTCAGAACCCATGATGCTTCTCCTAAGAGGATTTGAAGATCCTCAGGAATCTAATCTAAGCCAAAATCTAAAGATTTTGGAAATGTGGCTTTTAGTGGGGAGTAGGTTAAGAGGCAAGATGATACAAAGTTTGGACAACTAAGTTTGCGAACTCATCCTAGAAAAAGTGCTATATACCTCATTGCTGAATATCACTACAGTTACCCTCAAAGAACTCCCCTTGGGAAGCTATGCACTGACACCAGTGCCTAGTCCACCCTTCAAGGCAATTTTGGAACTTTTTCTGGAGTGGCCATCAGAGCTGTCATCATATGTCCTGATTGTCATCAAAATGTCTTCTCAATATTTCCTTTATCTTTGGGTAAAGAAAGAAGTCATTGGGGACCAGATCAGGTGAGTAGGGAGGGTGTTCCAATATAGTTATTTGTTTACTGGCTAAAAACTCTCCCACAGATAGTGCCGTGTGAGGTGGTGCATTGTTGTGATCAATTGTTGACAAAAAGTTCAGGTCATTGTCGTCTTTTTCACGCAGCCTTTTCAGCACTTCCAAATAGTGAACTTGGCTAACTGTTTGTCCAGTTGGTACAAATTCATAATGAATAATCCCTCTGATATCAAGAAAGGTTAGCAACATCATTGCAACAAGTTCACGAACTTAATTGTCCCACCTCCTTCACAAGTCTATTAACCTTACTTCCTTGTTTGATTCTAGCCAAAGTAATTGATAATATCCTGCTCTATGTAACCCTTCCTCCCACAGTAGACAAAAGTTCTTGTTCCTGTCAGTCATACAGTAATATTCTTATGTGGCTCTCACTAAATAGTTGTCATGTTCTGCCCTGGAGGTAACTCTGTGTCATCAGGAGGGGATGATAGACAGAAACATATATAAACACACACTTCCTTTAAAAAATAAATATAGGGCTTCTAGTTAAAAGGTGCTGTGTAAAGTAAGCAAGCACCCTCTTTCTTGCAAAGCAAGCACGCAACTCTTATTAACCTTGTAACCACAGCCTGTGTTGGTATTAAGACTCAGACCCCTTAGGGCTTGATACTTGGCTTAGAGAGATTCTTTGTCTTGGCTTTGATTTGGGAATTAAGGTCCCTGGACTTTTTTCATTCTGTGATGTGTATCTTCTAGTAGACAATCCAAATGCAGGGTCCCCAGGCTGCTGCACACAACCTGGTCTGGTTTACACTGCTTCCTTTTCCTCCATGGGAACCAGCATCAAGACTCCATTCAAATCCTCCATGCTTTTGTTCCGGTGTAAGATGGTGATAGGGTCCTGGTGTGTAGGGAAGACCAGGAAGATTTCTACGCAGAGCAATTGGGTCTGTAGAGTTGGTTCCAGTTCCCAGTGTTATCTTGATCTTGACCTGAGGGCAAGCTGCTTTGCCTCTCTCTTAAGTCTTCCCTTTCATAAAACCCAATTACTTCCTTCCCTGTGTCTTTATTAGCGTCCCAGAGGACCCTGGGATCTAATGGAATTTAGGGATCTAGGGTTGGAGGTCTGATGTGGTGAAGGGGCTAGTGTCTGATTCCTGCTCTAGAAGATTATGACTTTTAGGAAGCTAACGATGTGTCCATACATAAAGGCTCTGGTGTGTTTGATGTTTTTAAACTTAAACTTCTTATACATGAGACATGCTTGAATATTTGAGACTCTTGCAACAGAAGCCTCAGGGTCAAATCCAATAATAAAAATCAGGATTTCTATCCATTCTATCTATCCCCCCCCCCCGCCCACACACACGTCCTGTCTCACTATCCTTCTTGTTTGATGCAGTGCTGTGTTGTTGAAGTTGACCATAGGGTAAAAGGCCTCGTATTATACATACTCTGAGGGAATTTCTCTATGCATGGGACATGCCTAAAACTCTAGCTTTTTAAGGGGTGGGGGAGGGGGAGGGATGTTGTTTTAGTTTTTCTTCTAGGAGGTTCAACTAAGTCCCAAGTAAAGAAGAGAACCAATACATTGTTAGGATATATATACATACATATATATATATATATATATTCCACAAATATAGTGGCTTGTGAGCATGAGGTGACACCTTTCCATCTCCTTTTGCCTCTACTACCCCAAAATGACTCTTCTAAAGAATGCCTTAGTGGAGTAGTACTCTGATCTAAAATGGGCAGGATAAAATGGATAAAGGAATAGAGATGTAACTGGAAGGCTTCAGCTAGAAATTAAAGGGCCTATAATTAAAGGTGGTTGGGAATGCACCAGAAAGTGACATCATTTTTGGGGTTGCTTTTGAAGTTCACCACCTCTTGACCACACAACCCCTATACACTCCCCCGCCCCCTCTTTAGGTTAGTCTAGGAAAAATTGTAAAGGAGCCCCACTGGCACTAATAATACCCTGCCTCCCCAACACACACACACACACACACACACACACACACACACACACACTCCCTGCAGTGGGTGGAGTTGCTACTTCAGATGCCCCTGATTCATCACTCACACAAACAGCCACTAGGCCTTTCCTTCAGGGCCCTGCTCTCAGATCTGGAGCTGATAGACTAATTGGGGCTAATGTGATAATGGGCAATAAGGACATTTGATGTTTTTATCAGATATTTGCATATTAATAGGGCCCTTGGGGAATACATGGTTGAAGAACGGGAATAGTGGGAATATTTAGTAAAGAGAGGGAGGCAGGAGGGCTTTTTAGAGCCTCCCTAAATTGCTCTTCCAAACCTTCAAACCCTTTCAGGCCTACATGAGTTCCAAGACCCCAATCCACCCCTGCCTTCCCCTCAAGTCTTCTTCACCTTTAGAAATCTCTGCCTTCATGTTGCATTAACTAGGAAAACAAACAAGAAAGGAACGTTACTACTGCTCACTCGCCTTAATATGACAACCCCTTACTTTTTTTTCTATTCAGCTTTTGCTCATATACAGACTTTTCTTTTTTACACAAGGAACTTCTTGGTTTTGATCACCAAATCTTTGTCTCTTTGCCAAAACTCAATTTCCCTTTCTTCTCCCACAGGGCGGAGGCCTGGCGTGTTAAAGAAATCTGCTGGGATGCTTAGCTCACGCCAGGCCAGTGTCCAGGAAGACCTGAGAGAAAGTTAATGGTTAGGAGAGGGTATTTTTCCTTGCCAGGAGCAGTCCCTCACCTGTGCAGGTGAGAGTGCATTGATGACCCACTGAAGCATGCCCTTGGCCCAGGGGAATGGGGATGGCATGGGCATCGAGATCCATAGAGCTTACCCAGGGTTTCACCTTCTTCTTGCCCAGGCTGTGCTGTTTTATTTGCAGTTTCAGCATCTTGGTCTTTTCCTCTCTAGCTCCTACGGTGTCAATAAACAGTAAAAAATGACCACGTAAGTGTTAAGAGGAAGTAAAGAACCTGGGTGATCCGCCCGCAGGGCTGTCAGCCGTTGCCTTGTTGAGAGCTGACTGTTCCATCTAACGGCGCAGAGGGGACCCTCTGTCCTGGGATGCTCCAGTCAAACACTTTCCCAAGGCTCTTTCCTGGGGTCAGGGGAGACCGGCTTTCCAAAGTTCATTAAAATTGCCAAAGGTCACTTGCCAAAGAGACCATCGTGGTGCCTAAAGAGAGAGCCTATGCTGCAGGCCACCTGGCTGGGGCCCCCATTAGAACCTGGTACCTGCACAGCCAGGGCAAACATCTTGACACCAAAGCAGAGTGGACTAAATATAGATTAGCCCAAGAGATAGATGCCGCTCCCCTATACCATCATCTTCTCCAGATCTGAATTTCTGCTCACTTTGCTTTCACATCCTCCTTTCCCAACGGTGTCTTCGGGGAGCACATATGGTGCTTTTACCTGAAACAGCTTCTACTAAGCCAAAAAGAACAGTCACCACCAAATCAATTTCTCATCCATTAACAGGTTGTCTCTCTGTTCCTGAGACACAGGCATAACCTGGTTAGACCTGTTTTGTTTGAACACTAACGTGTGAGTTGGCCAAATGCAAATGAGCCAATGTTTGTAATCCTTTATTTTATTTTTTTAAAGGGCCCGGCAGCCAATCAGAAGAGGGGGAAGTGACTTAGGGAATTCCCGGTTGGTGGCTTATTGCTTAACATCCTACAAAATGATTTAAAATTATTGTCATATGCATTTATTTTCACTCTGATGAGGGCTTAGACGTGATAACACCCCTGGTTCCCCATCCCGGTAGGAGCTGGCGTGACGGGCTGCCTGCTTCCATTAGCCACAGCTATTGGATTTCCAACCCAGAATCGTTAGGTAAATGAGGTAAGTTCTTATTTTTAAAGTCCTCCTTTTGAATCTGGAATTCAACAACCTGAGTGGAAAGAGAAGCCTGTCTTGAATCAGACAGACGAAACTAAGGCAGACTCCTGGAGGCAGCAGGCAGGAAGTAAGCTTGCCTCACCTGTGCTTACCTCACTGAGTCTTATTAGAATTACATTTGGGGAGGGGGGGGAGGGCAGTGGGGGGCAGCTGGGCACTTTGGATGTTATCTGTGAGTTCCCTGCATTGAATCTGGACTTCTAGTCACTGTGACTTTAAAAGCCCCAGATTTCTTTCCGTCTGTCTGTGTGACAAAGCCATTCCCTTGGGTTGAATTCTAAACCAAATAGGCAGCTGGGGATAGGTGATCCTGATAGAGCTCTGTGAAGAACTAGTTGACTCAATAGCTGTTGGGCTCAGAGCACCAGCACATGTTCTCACTTTCTAGAGATGTTTTCTGTTGGTAATTTTTCTGACTCAGTTGTAGGGGAAGGCAGATTCATTTTTACTATATTCTGGTATTGGAAAATGGCTGGAAACAAGCTAGGGCATATGCATCCACACTGGAAAAAGGGGTCAGGCAGCTCAGGTAGGCAAGGGGATCGGGCAGAGCAGTACAACTAAAAATGACTCTGTCCAGAAAAAAAAAATTGGCAAGGAATTTTGCCATATCACAAGGTGCAAGTTAACCTTTCGTTTGTTCCATAATGGGGCACTCTGACTACACAGGCAGACGTGAGTCAGCAGCACCAAAAGCCTTCTAAGACAGAGACTATTTTGATTTTGTTTGGACACCACGGAGAAGTGTTGGCCCCAGGGTGGATGGAACTGGGAACAGTGGAGGATTACTCTTCTTGTTGGTAAATAACAACATTTTCGCTGTCCGTCTTTGCCAAGATTTAGTATACTTCCAGTATTGTGGGTGCATGTTATCTTTTTAAGAGGACATGTAAGATTCTGTGAGTCTAAGTGCACAGGTGTCTCCACCGGTTATTTGCACTGACCCTAGTAGCAGGAAGAAAGTGAGCGAGTGTTTGGATTCTGAAAACTCGTTGAGGGAAGGTCTAATTCAGGAGTTGATTTTGTAGGCATGGGTGTGAGGATGTGTTCAGATAGAGCCTTTCAATGTATAAAAGGGTAATTGGGGGTCATGAGTGACTGTGTGCTAATTTCACTGAAATCACGGGAAGAGTCAATTTCCAATAAGAGAGATAAAGTCCTATTATCAGGATGAACTTCATCGGTAAGCGACGCTAGCAGAAAAGGCTCTTAAGAGATTTTAAGAATGACTTTAATAGGTTCCTTTGGAGTTTGCAAAGGCTCCATTATCCTCTTTTTGAGACCTAGAATTCTGAGACTACAAAATAGTTCATCGTTTCCATTTTCTTTTAATGGGAAGTTATGTAGGATCATGTCACTTCCACGCCAATTACTAATGGTTCATATGGATATATTTTAAAAACAATGATAAAACATGAAATGAGGGTCATTTGGAAGTTTGTAATTGCATTTGAAAAAATAATAAATATAATGGAGACAACCCTTCTCCATGTTTCCAAAGTATTTTACATAGGCATTTTAAAATAACTTAGAGGGAACAACTGTGCTGTAAGTTCTGAGTTACTGTTCAAGATGGCGGACATTTTTAGGATGGTTGTGATTAGGATAATGCATTTGATCCAGACCACATAAGTATGGAAGATCTGAAATTCAATTATATTTTTTCTTTTGTTTTAAAAACCACCTATTGTTAAATTCAAACAACACTGTTTTGAAATTTTTTCCATTTTTTAATACACTGTGAGCTCCTCCAAATGAAAATGCCTTGGGCCTTTCTGGATCCCTGAGACACCCTCCTACATTTTTATGGAATCACCTATGATTCCACGTTTATGCTCCCATTAATTTACCAACTTTACCCAGATCCTCTTTCAGTATCTTTTTGACTCTTTGAGAGGCTGAGACAAAATGAAAACTGAGAGCTTGGAATATTTCATCAACTGCATTTAATTAGCTAATTAGAAACTGGAAGGAACTCATATCAGGTCTCAGGTCAGAATGTGAGTGGTTTAGGCCAAAGTTCACGTCTACGAAGTAGAACTGAGCATTTTGGAATCTGTAATGTTTAATTTCCTTCTCATCCTCCCAACCTCCAAATCAGGGAATTTTATTCCTGGGTTGTGTTCTTTAGACCATCTTGCTTTTCTGAAAGCCTAGTGTAAGAATCCTGTTCAATGTTAAAGCATCAAGTACAGACACAGAGGTTCACACAAATCATTAAGAAGCTATTCAGTCTTTCCCCCTTCCTCCAGATGGAGTCATTTTTAAGTCCTTTCAAAGAAATGTGATTTTCAAAGGCCTCTGGGAGATAGGGGAGGTGGGGGTGGATACCAATAATGCCATGGTAGAACCCGTAACACACTTGAGAAGCCATGCCAAAGTTTTAAGGCATCAAATATAAAGTTGGAACTTGATTTTCGGTGACACCTTTTTGCTGTGCTTCAGCCCATTTCTCTTCTAAAGATCGCTTTCTGGTAGAATTGAAGTGACAATCATTTCTGTTGTGGGTGGGACCCTTGTTGGCATTGACTCCACTGCAGGCTTGGTGTTTAGAGACCAACCATGCTTTCTTACCTTGGCTTTGTCACTGGGTAACCCAGGGAATGTGGTAGCTTTTAGTTTGGGTAAGCCGAATCTGCGGTGGGGGTTGCCATTTGAAGACAGAAGCAAGAAAGCAGCCATATCTTGCAAGAATTCTCTTAAACCTGTTGCTGAATAACTGACTAGATGGGGAAGATAAACTCTATTTAATGTCGTCTTATTTAATTTTTAAAATAAGATTTTAAATAATATGACTTGTCCTGAGGAGCAGGCAACTGTGCTCTTATTAGAAATATGAGACTATTATGTTTATTTAAATTGGACAAGGTTTTAAAGGGCCAGAATATTTATCTATGCAGGAAACAAACAGTGCAGTGGGGAGAAGGACACGAATATTAGGATGGGACATATGTTTAAGCTGAATGGCGTTGATGTCAGGAAGCTGAGATGAGCTGGAGTAGAAATTTCCACGGATTCCCTTAGAGTTATTTGACAAAAAAATTACTGGACTTCAGAGGGGGAAAAAAGATATTTTTAAAAGAGTTTTCCTGAAGAATTTCAGATTCAACCTTTTGAGTGATCAGAGCATAATGTGGACTAGACAGTGCCCAGAACTGGCAGTCAGGAAACTTGGTTTTCTATCTCTGGCAAAGCTGTGTGCCCAGAGCAACACACTTCACCTCTCTGGGCTTTAGTTTCTTCATGTGGATACATGACTTTGAACCTGATCGTCTTTAAGATCCATTTCAACCTTCAGATTCTGATGTCCGGGGCGAACCAGCTATGCCTAGAGGTCACCAGGTTTAACTTGGGTCTGTGAAAACTGAGAATGAGGTGAGAGATGCCCTTCTAAGGATCAGATAAGAAAGAAAAGGAGTAGGAGCCTTTAAATGGCTTCCTTGGGGTCTTCAGAATTTTGGCTAAGGGATATAGCTGATAGAGGTACTAAGACTGGATACCAGGGGACTTTTTCGGGGGTGTTAGAGTCTGCTCCCCTGACAACATCCCGTCTTCATCAATTTGGCTTGTGTGTCCAAAGTTGGTGGGAGTGTGGAAGTGGATGAAACTGTTTTGTGACCACAGGGAACAGCCGGTGGACACGAGTAGGTACTCTAATGACCTCTTTTATGAAACACCAAAGCAGCCTCCTGAAAAGTGAACATTTAGGCACCCAACGAGTTGACTCAGTTTGTGTGATGCTGATCAGCTCGCTTGACTGATTGTCCATGAATTATTGGGTAGATTGGATGGACAGGGACTCTTCTCCTAGAGGAAGATCCTACGGGTGACAGAAGGGGAACATGCCTGGCTGAGCCACAGGGTAGTCAACCTGGAGACTCTCGTGTTCCCAGAGGGCCTCAGCCTGTATCTGGGCAACCAGCATTTGCAACAGGGTCAAGCAGGGTGGCCCATTTAAAGAGGCTCCCAGGGTTTTAATTGGCCGTGTTTTAAAAGAGACACCCTGTAAAAATACCCTTTTAAAAATTGATTTCACTAGCACCTAACCACACTCTGCCTTCAGTTTGTTTTACAGGGCTGGGTCCCTTGTTCTGGTTCATTGGATTCACATTATGTGTTTTGTTTTGTTTTTTCCAATCTTCTTCCACACCCTGGCCCTCAGAGCCTCCTTCCCTTCCTGTCTCAGAAGCATTTTCATCGTTATTAAAGCTACCTGCCTATTTATTTAAAATATGGCCAGCATAGGTGCATTCTAAACATGCTTTCTGATGAAAACAAAGGCAAAAATTCAAAGGAGCCCAAAGCCTATTATGACATTTTAATTATTAGACTAATAGACCACCGCATTAACCCCACTAATTTTAACATAAGTACTTAGTTTTACTTTTGTATGACCTTGTCTAGATACACACTTTCTGTGTTGTTGTTGTAATAGTGGTGAACTCAAAGTTTCATATCCTGCCACTTCCCCGTCATTCTATATCACAGATACAAAATAAACAATCTTGGGGGTTGGCCCTCATTTGCCTAGTTACGGGTTTGAGAAACTTCAGTCGCCCTGCCAACCCTTTCTCAGCCTGATGTAAACTTTTTCCAAAACCCTGAATGGTCTTTCTTGGAATATGAGGAAAGTGTTCCATTTCTTGCAGATGACAAGGGAGCTTGGACAATATGGCTTTCTCGTCGAGATTATTGTGGGATCTCTCTTAGGAAGCTTTAAAAAAAGTCCCCTCAGTAGGCTAATGCTATATTCTGGGGGTCGAGGTCAATGGGGTCTGAAAAGTGAAGCTATTTTCAGCCCTGTCTTCGTGGTGACTACTGACAAGACTTGTTTTATCTTTGCAGTGGGCTTTAGATTTGGCCCAAATCAGACTCTGTCTCAATTACGTCCACTTATAAAATTAGAGAGCACCAAGATCTTTCACCCTTCGGAACTCCCCAGGCCAGATGCTATGGGTTGAGGAATGCAGATGGAGAGCAGGCTTTGCTTGTGTTTCTGAAGGGGCAGGAGGCTATGAGCTTTGGTTCCCTGGGAGCAGGTGGAATGCGGTACAAAGAACACTGGGTTTAGAGTCAGAATACCTGGGTTCAAATTTGACTCTGCCCACGGTTAGCTGAGTGACTTTGAGCGAGTTATGTAAGCTCTAGAATTGAAGTTTCCTCACCTGGAAAATGGGGTTAATGATATCTGTGCAGGGCTGTTGTAGGGATTAAATTAGACAAAGAATCTGAAAGCACCTAGACAAATGCTTGTGAGCAAATAATTAGTAATGCACAGAGTGGAAATTGAGGATAAATCCTCCACATGGGTGTTTCAGTGAGTCTGTGCTGGGTTGAAGTGGATGCATAATTCTGGGATTTTGTTTTTTGAAATGATCGACGTTGGTTCTGCACTGTAACCTTGGGAAAAAAATGCAATCGGTTTTCACTGCAGAAGGTGGGTGGCAGGGAGATGGGACGAATCATGGTAATGGGGGAGCTCCAAATTGAGCCTTGTCTTGAGCAGGCTACAAACCACAACCCATGCGGGCTCTGAGGAAGACCTGGGGTGGGCGCACAGCACGTTCCTACCCCTGTGTCTTGATGCCTGGCATGTAGAAGCATCCAAAAGAAACTGATTCCCCTCTAGGCAGTTCATGTGACTAACTTCAATTTCATATACTGTTGCCCACCCATGAAATTCTTGAGAATGAATGTCTTTAGATATCTACTGACCTTGAAAAACATCCCTACTTGCTTATTGTGCCAAGACACTATGGGGCCTGTTTCTTGTAATTTGTTCAAATAAGGATTCTTGCCTCTGGAAGTGATTTCTAGAAGCTATTTGAATTGAATAAGCAGTCTTTGCTGTTAATAAAACAAGCGTCCCTAACCTGGGATCCAAGGGTTTCTTGGTGTCCATGGAGAGAATTCAGGGAATTTATGAACTTGGATGTGAAAAAAAGCCATGTTTTTATGTTCATTAATCTAACTAAAACGTAATATTTTCTTTCAATATCAATGCAATTGAAACTCTGCAGTAGCATTAGCTGTAACTGTGACTGTCGCCAAGAGAAATTACAGACATTTTCATGTCACTTTACACTTGTTACAGATTGTCTCAAAATATCGATATTATCACTTCTTACGTATCATGGAAATTATTAGACCTGCTCTTATTTAATGTGTAATAAAGAAGTACATACATTATTATGACATCACACATGTACTTTAAAAAATATTTTGATCATTGTATTTCAATAGAAACTTCCTTTCTAATCTTACCTATTTTATTCTGTCATTTAAAAACATTTTGAGAAGGGGTCCATAGGCCTCAGCAGACTGCAAAATAGATCTGTGGTATAAATAAAAGGCGAAGAACCCCTAATTCCCTAATTTAGAGCATTCTATCGCATAGGACAAGTGAAATGGCTTTTGAACAGCCTCAACTAATAGATGGTCTTTGTCAAAACAGGAGTATATGTTTTTCCCACCCATTGTTCCTGCCTATGGGTAGTTTTAGAATTGCGGTGGGACTTTGGCATAATGAAGATAATGGTAACAATAATAATAATAATAATAGTAATAGTAATAATAGCTAACATTTGTTGAGTGCCTGCTGTAAACCAGGTGCCTTGACAGGCATGTTCAATGTCATATTTTATTTACTTCAGATGGTCTTTTATGGGGCAAAGATGAAAAAAATTCCCCTCCCATCCCCTGTGGTGACAGAGCATTGGTGCAGATGAAGGCAAAGGTGGGGACTGACCTCGTGGACAGGGCCAGTGTCATAGGTATGCCACCTGTGCAGTCACACAGGGCCCCACACTTAGAAAGGCCCTGTGCTCAGTTTCATGTTCTGTTGTTGCTGTCTTGAGATTCTTAATACATTTTTAACAAGGGGCCCTGTATTTTCCTTTTGCACTGAACCCTGAAAATTATGTACAATAGCTGGGCCTGCCTCTGGATATAGTGAAATTGTTCTAACGTGTGATGACTCCCGCTGCTGGGCTGCTGCTGTGGAGAGCCCCCTGCCATTCTTTTTAAAATTTTTTTATTGGGGAATTGGGAAGTGGTGTTAGGGAATTAGGGAAGGGAACATTGTGTTTTTCAGGACTCTTCAGCGCCAAGTCAAGTTGTTGTCCTTCAGTCTTAGTTGTGGAGGGTGCAAGGTCAGCTCCAAGTCCAATTGCTGCTGTCAATCTAGTTGGAGGGGGTGCGCAGCCCACCATCCCATGCGGGAGTCAAACTGGCAACCTTGTTGTTAAGGGCATGTGCTCTAACCAACTGAGCCATCTGGCTGCCCGTTGGCAGCTCAGCTCGGGCGCAGCTCACTGGCCCATGTGGGAATCGAACCGGCGACCCTGTTGCTCAGAGCTCGCCCTCTAACCAGCTGCGCCATTCAGCAGGCCCCCTTCTGCTCATTCTTATCTCTCTCATCTAGCTGACTTTTGGTGGAAAGCTGAGGCCTGTTGAGCAGGGATGCTGTCATTTTTGAGTTGGTGAGTTTTATAATTTTGTTTGAGCACCAAAGATTTCCTCTGAAGCAACTGGAGGAATGGCAGGATAATCAGCTGAAAGGCATTTATTTGATTCCTTCGAAAACCTTTCTGGTAAGGAGTTGCTTGCCTTGCTGATGGTTTTCCTTTCTTTTGTTTCTTTCCCTTTCTCTCTCTCTCTCTCTCTCTCTCTCTC